ATTCACAGTGAGTAGTAGGGTGTCCCCTGCCCTGTGTACTCTGGGATATTCGCAGTGAGTAGTAGGGTGTCCCCTGCCCTGTGTACTCTGGGATATTCGCAGTGAGTAGTAGGGTGTCCCCTGCCCAGGCTCACTGTGAGCCTGTACTGGATACATGGCTGTAATAACAGCACTATTAAAAGTGTACAGTATTTTGTGCAGATTCTCTGGTCCTGTTCCAAATGTCCTGCCTAATGGTAAATTGAAAATCATCTTTCTTCCAGGAAAACTGTGTGCTGTGGTGGTGGGGAGCCTGTGTGGCCTCCTGGGTTTGGTGATGGTCATCATCCTCGTCGTAAAGGCCATGCGGTAAGTCCAGTGTCCTGTTGCCCTGGCTGAGAAGGCTGTGATAATTCTTTGTGCACTTTATCACACATTTCCGAAGGGGGTCAAACACAGTACCGGGCATATTTTGCTGGACGATATTTAGCTTTAGCATTAGTGAGTTTCACAGGACAGAGGGCTGAACCATAAAGTCACCAGATCCCTGGTCCTGCTCTCCCCTCGTGTCACTCTGCTTCCACACCTTCTTTCAGCATGAAAGTCCACATCTGCAGCCTTTCGCTGCTCGTCCTTCTCCCAAACCTCTCTCTTTCACTTTCTCCTCATCCTGAAACATTTTTCCTTTCAAAACCCGACCAATGATGTTTAGAACAGCTATATAATGATATAATGTTGATCTGTGTAAGCAGGTCATGTGACTATGTCTTAATCACATGACAGCTCTACCTCTAGTTGGGAGGCCCTCACATCAGTGAGACCAGCACCTTCACGCAGGTCACTCTGAAATTATTAACTCGTGTTGTTATGACATGACCGTAACCTTTGACCTTTATATTAGGATCCTATGTACTGTATCTGTGCTTGAAATACTGATCTTTCCTTTTCCTGTTAGCTTTAGGAACCTCAAATGAATCCTTGGGTGATAGACCTGAAAGCGATTCTCTATGAATCTCTTTTCCGGTTCCTTAATGCCTTATAATAATAAATCAACGTATCCCTTTTACATCTAGTCTCTTTATACATTTTACAAAATAAAGCATTTTTAAACCCATGTGTGTATATCTATACATACAAATACAGTGTACAGTGTATCCTTGTCGTACAATGGAGTTATTTTCCGATTAACCCATCGTAAGTGTAAAATACTATAAGTCGAATAT